ATAGATAAATGACACACACACAACACACATTAAAATCTTTTATTTGACATTCAAAATGAAAGGTAAATGAAACCCAAGAGTAATTTGATGATAGTAAATTATAATAAATTAATGTTTTCATGGCGCGTATTTAATATTTTCTTTGGACAATGGAGCTATAAAAGTTGCGTAAACCGCCATATTGATAAATATGAAAATGCATATTATTGAATAAATTGATTAGTAAATATTGGCAGTGTTAAACAGCTTGCAGTATCATGTTGTAATTATTTTTGCAATGACTGTTCGATTGGGAATTTGTGCATCTGACTCAGACCGCGTTTCTTTTCAGAACTAAAATAAATTGCAGGTCGGATAGTAAGAAGTAGAGAGAAAGAGAAAACAAGCAAGTGATAAAGAGAGATAAAATGAGCAGAGAAGAGAGATGAGAGAGAGAGAACGTATAATGTAATACATTTAGAATGATCATAATTTAGATAAAAAGAGGAATAATTATCGAATTATGATGATAGTAACCAATTAAATGCAAACAACAATACTATTACTACTATATATTGATTAATAACAATAATATTAAATGGATATGATAAAGTAATAAAAAATTAAAATAATAAATACTAAATTATGCTGATTGAGAATATTATACTAATAATTTAAGTAAGTCGCATAATATCACTACACTATCAAAGCAAGCAAAAACCAAGAACCCAATCAAACGATATATATAGAATGACTAGGAAGAGAAAGAAAAAAGAATAGCAAAGTAAAATAAATAAAATGTGGTACAAATAACAATACAACGATAGAGCACGTGAAAAAAAGGAAAAAAAGGAAATAATTTAAGAAACTGAAAGGAAGAGAATTAACAATTACGTCTTAAAAAAATAATAAAAAATGGGAGAACGAACAAGAAATACACGAACAGTCTTAAAAAAATATAAAAACAAAAATGAAAAGAAAAGAGAAGAGAGATAGAACGAGAGAAGAAATAGAGGGACAGCAGATTGGACATGCAAGACTGGCAGAGAGGAGAGATGGTTAAGGGGTAGAGAGAGGGGAAAAACAAACGATACACACATCCCACAAAGCAAAAAAGATTTTAAAAGACAAAATAAAAATCGGGAATGTAGCAGAAGGGCGCAGAGTTAGCCCAAAGATGTAGCTGTTAATCCGCTGCCTTTATCTTATTAAATTAGAGAGTAATGCAACAGGCCTGGCAATAGACACGAGATTATATAGGGCACGATCCTCCAGGTGAGTTTGGTTAGGCAGGCCTCAAAAGAGGAAGAATGGGTTTAAAAGGAATTATCTAAAATTATATAGCAATGCTAAGGCGGAAAATGGACAGGTGAGGGTGAGTGAGCAGTGGCTCGGGAGGTCTCTGATCAACACGGTCTTGGGTATTTGAGATGGGTTATACTGGCAGTTTGGTTAGGTATACTGTAAACGTTGTGATAGACTGCTGTAGTTTTGTATGCTGCACATTTCTGCGTTCTAAACTTTCCCACTAACATTGCAACATGTTTTAACCCTCAACTTTCTGTCAATTGCTTTATTTCTAAAGGTGGAACGTGGTACGACGAGAGACAGTGTACTAAAACCACCGTTACTTTTTGGATATTGCAATATGAACATAGTTTTGACGGACTTTTCGACATAGTAGTATGTGAAAACAAAAGTTGTTAAATTTACTTAACATGATAAGGGATGGGAGAGTTAGGGCAGAAATCGGAGAGAAGGAGAAGTGAGATGTAACCATTCTTCAGACTAATATTTTTTGGCATATAACACTGAGAGGTATACGCCTAATGATACACTACTTCATACTATACAACTAATCGGTGTTGTGTACAATTGTATACTTTACGTATGCGCCTAAACCGTAAATCAGCTTAACAGTTCACGAACAACTCAAAGCAGAGGTGTATACCTCAAAATGGCTTCGCACTTCAATAGATACTAACACTAAATCGAGCGAAAATCTAAACACAATGATAGAGCGATGGAACTTCCCCTGAGTATCTAAAAGTACAACGAGAGAGAGAGTGAGAGAGAGAGAGAGATGAGGAGAAGAGAGAGAAGAGAGAGAGAGAGGAGAGAGAGAGGAGAGAGAGAGACAGAGAGAGAGAAGAGGAGAAAGAGAGGAGAGGAAGAGAGAGAGGAGAAAGATGAGGGGAGAGAAGAGAGGGAGAGAAAGAGAGGAGTACACAGTATTGTACCTGTACACCATATGCCTATGCAAAGTAAATGAAGATATTCCAAGTATCACTACATTAAAAATCGCGGTATATTGAGTACTGTATTTATCTTCACAAGGTGGACCCGCTTTGCATAATTACACCGTTGTTCGAAGGATACATTCACTCCTCATAGGCCTTATACAGTACACAATATAGTTATTCATTACACTATACCCAGATTTATAGTGACCTATACATACATTTCCAACACTCCATATCCCAGCCACAAAGAGACGGCCCTTATCTTCGCTAAACTATAT